GTCTTGGTTCTTGAATAAGTGCTTTTAGTTGGGTAGATGGAAAAAATTGGAGTTGTTTCTTTCTTGGCAAGGAATAAGAATGGGCCATAAGGTGGGTTTTGGACCACAAGGAATCTAGCCAAGTAATATATCATGCTAGCTAGCCTATTTGCCCCAATAATATCTTGTTCATAAATTTGGCATCACAACAATCTCAAAGATTAGGAAAATAATTAAATGCACTAGTTGCTTTAGGCGCGATTAATAAATTATCGTGATCACGGGTACGGTTCCCGTGGCGTGGTCATGATACGTAAATTCCAATTCGGGTGTGCATTTCATGTGACCCGGTCATAACAACTTCGAACAATAATAAAATAAATATGTCGTGAATCGCGGGTGAATTTCATGTAGCGTGGTTTGCTGTGTGTTTCAAAACGGCAAGTGTACGACAATTGTAACTTGTTCAAGAAATAATTTCATAAAACCTAAAAGGGTGGTAAAATACTTAAAAGCGGTAATAAAGTTAAAAATGCACAATAGGTTTAAAACATGTACTAAATCAGATAATTAGGCTAATTATTAATAGTTCAGCGACCGTGCTAATACCACGAAACCCGGGAATGCCTAACACATTCTCCCGGGTTAACAGAATTCCTTATCTAGAATTTCTGGTTTAGCCGACTTTATAAATAAAGTTGAAATTTCCTCGATTTGGGATTTTAAAATAAACCGGTGACTTGGGACACCAGAATAAATTATCCCAAGTGGTGACTCTGAAAAATAAATAAAATAATCCTATTTCGAATAATCTCACTTAAATTGGAAAAACTCCCTTATACGCCCCTTTCGGGGTGGTAAAAAAGGAGGTGTGGCAAGTGGCAGTTGATTCGATACCTAATGATGCGGGCGAGCACCCGATGGGTGAGGTTATTCCCCCAGCTACTACACCACCTAATTCTACTACTCCTACTCAAGCTGCACCAATCCCTACTCCTACTGAGGGTGCGGCTATTCCACTTGCAGCCCAGCTTCGAGTCCCGACGTTTCTGATTGGGACCTTAGGGGAGCCATATAGATGTTGGCTTAGATAGTGGCTTCTGAGGCCAAAAGATCGAATGTTGCACCTACTTCTTCCAGTTAGCAAGTGGATTCAGCTAGTTCAAGGGTGAACAAGTTTCTTCAGTTGGATGCTCCAGTGTTCACGGGTACTAATTCCGAGGAGGAACCCCAGGACTTCATTGATGAGATGTAAAAGACTCTCCGAGTTATGCGTGCAACAGAGACGGAGGGAGTGGAGTTGGCCTCCTACCGCCTGAAGAGGTGGCCTATTCTTGGTTTGAGATGTGGGAGGAGTCCCCTGAGGAGGGGAGCCCTTCGGCGAGGTGGAGTGAGTTTTCCGCCGCCTTTTATTAATCATTTCGTGTCTGCCGAGACTAAGGCGACCCATGCCGCTGAGTTTGAGATCCTGAAGCAGGATAGCATGAGTGTGTGGGAGTACCATATGAGGTTCGCACGCCTGTCCAAGTATGTTATTCACATGTTGCCCACTATGGAGGCTAGAGTGTGTCGGTTTGTTCAAGGCTTCACGCCTTGGTTATTAATGAGGTTTCTAGAGCTGCCTTGAATTCTGATATGAACTATGGGAAGATGGTGGCATTTGCTCAAGCCATAGAGACTCGCAAATTTAAGAACATAATTGAGCGAGAAGGTAGCAATAAGGCCCGGTCCCTGAGCAAATTTGATGTTTCTTTCAGTGGTGGTGGAGATAGGTCAACATTCAGGGAAGGGTCATCAAAGCCATCCCAGTCCTTCGCTCAGTCTTCGTTGAGTGCACAACCATCAGGCTCAGTCAGTAATAGTGGACTAGTTTCAGGCCCAGTTAGGGCAATAGGGGACCCCACCAGCAGAGTTGGCCTGGAGGGAGATTCCAGCAGCAGCGGAGGTCCCCCATGCCCTAAGTGTGGAAGATGCATCTTGGGGCCTGCTTCCTAGACCAGCCCATATGCTACGTGTGCGGTATAAGGGGTCACATTCAGAGGGATTGTCGTTCGTCCTGCCAGAGATTGGGCATAGGTACGGCACAGCCAGCCAGTTCTACAACTACTACATCTGCAGCACCTCCCCCAGCTCGAGGCATTCCAGCGCCCGCAGGGCGGGTGCAGCTAGGGGTAGTACTTAGAGCTCGGGAGGGCCCAACAGATTTTATGCTATAAGAAGGCGTCAAGATTCAGAGGCTTCTCCATATAATTTCACATGTATATTGACTGTCCAATCTCATGATGTATATGCTCTTATTGATCTCGGTTCCACTTTATCCTATGTCACTCCTTATGTTGTTATGGAATTTGGGATAGAACCAGAACAGCTTCATGAGCCGTTCTCTGTATCTACTCTAGTTGGTGAGTCTATTGTGGCCGTGTGGGTTTATAGGGATTGTGTTGTCACGATGCATGGTCGGGACACTATGAACGAACTCGTTGAATTGGGGATGTTTGATTTTGAAGTAATAATAGGGATGGACTGGCTTTATTCATGTTTCGCCAAGCTTGATTGCCAAACCAGAACCGTTAGGTTTGAATTACCAAATGAGCCAGTCACTTAATGGAAGGGGGATGATGTGGTGCCGAAGGGTAGGTTTACTTCTTACCTTAAGGCAACGAAGATGATCAACAAGGGGTGTAATTACCATTTGGTTCGGGTTACAAATGCCGATGCTGAGGCACCTACACTTGAGTCTGTGCCAGTAGTGAATGAATTTCCAGAGGTCTTTCCAGACGAGCTCCTTCAGATCCCACCAGACATGGAGATTGATTTTGGGATTGATGTATTGCCAAGCACGCAGCCTGTATTTATTCCACCCTTGGCATCTACAGAATTGAAGGAACTGAAGGAGCAGTTGAAGGATGTTAGAGAAGGGTTTTATCCGGCCGAGTGTGTTGCCTTGGGGCGCACCGGTTCTTAAGGTCACGATCAAGAATAAGTACCTACTACCAAGGATAGATGACTTGTTTGACCAATTGCAGGGTGCTAGGTACTTGTCCAAAATTGATTTAAGATAGGGGTATCACGAATAAAAGATCAGGGAGCAGGATATTCCGAAAATAGCTTTCAGGACCGGAACGGGAACTTTGAATTTAGGGGGATAAAAAATACCCCCGGCATCTTTCATGGATCTTATGAATCAAGTCCTCAAGCCTTTTCTTGACTCCTTTTTATAGTATTCGTTGACGATATTCTTGTATATTCACGAAGTTGAGAGGACTATGCCGATCATCTTAGGGCGGTTCTGCAGACTCTGTATCAGCACAAGTTGTATGCAATGTTTTTGAAATGCAAATTTTGGCTTGAATTTGTCGCATTCTTGGGTCATGTCGTCTCCAGAGAAGGAATTAAGGTTGATCCGCAGAAGATCGCAGCCGTGAAGAATTGGCCAAGGCCTACAACTCAAACAGAGATTCGCAGTTTCTTGGGCTTAGCTGGGTATTACAAGAAATTTGTGGAGGGGTTCTCTACTCTTGCCTCGCTATTGACTAAAATGACGCAGAAGGCGGTTAAGTTCCATTGGTCAGGTGCTTGTGAAAAAAGCTTCCAAGAGTTGAAATAAAGATTGACTACGACACCGGTGTCGACCCAACCAGAGGGTATAGAGAGGTTCGTGGTATATTGTGATGCTTCAAGGATCGGACTTCGCTTATACCTCTAGGCAACTCAAGAATCATGAAAAGAACTATCCAACACATGACTTAGAACTTGCAACGATGGTGCTTGCATTGACAATTTGGCATCATTATTTGTATGGGGTCCATGTGGATATATTCACGGACCATAAGAGCCTTCAATATATTTTCAAACAGAAGAAATTGAATCCAAGGCAGAGAAGATGGCTTGAGTTACTCAAGGATTACGATATTGATATCCTATATCATCCACGGAAGGCTAAAGTTGTGGCGGATGCTCTTAGCCAAAAATCTATGGGTAGTTTGGCTCACTTGGAGGCATATCAAAGGCTATTGGCCAAGGAAGTTTATTAGTTATCTAGTTTGGGAGTTCGTCTTGCGGACTCTAGTGAAGGAGGGGTGATTGCGCAAAATAGGGTTGAATCATCGCTTATTGTGAAGGTCAAGGAGAAGCAATACAACGATCCATTGTCGGTACAATTGAAGGCGGGGATTCATAAACATAAGACCATGGATTTTTTTCTTGGCATGGATGATGGTACACTAAGGTACCAAAGGCGGCTATGTATTCTGAATGTAGACGGTCTCCAGGAAAGAATCATGGTCGAGGCCCACACTTCTATGTATTCTGTGCATCCAGGCTCTACAAATATGTATGATGATCTTAAGGAAGTCTACTGGTGGAATGATATAAAGAGGAATGTGGTGGACTTTGTGGCAAGATGTCCAAATTGTCAGCAAGTGAAGGTCGAACACCAAAGACCCGGGGTTGGCGTAAAACATCGAGATTCCAATGTGGAAGTGGGATATGATCAATATGGACTTTGTGGTAGGACTACCTTGCACTCCTTGCAAATTTGACTCAATTTGGGTGATTGTGGATCGACTCGTGAAATCAGCACACTTCTTACCTATTAAGGCTACCAACACAGCAGAATAGTACGCTCAGTTGTATCTCAAGGAAATAGTCAAGTTGCATGGAACTCCAGTTTCAATTATCTCAGATCGAGGGGCACAGTTCACAGCTAATTTTTGGAAGAAGTTTCTGCAAGGCTTGGGTACTCAGGTGAATCTTAGCACAGCCTTTCATCCACAGACCGACGGGCAAGCAGAGCGGACCATTCAGACGCTCGAGGATATGTTGCACGCTTGTGTTCTTGTCTTCAAGGGTAGTTGGGATGATCATTTTCCACTCATAGAATTTGCCTACAACAACAGTTACCATGCTAGCATTCAGATGGTGCCGTTTGAAGTTCTATATGGTAGGAGATATAGATCTCACATTGGGTGGTTTGAGATTGGGAAACGGAGTTGACGGGGCCATGACTCGTGCATCGGGCTATGGAGAAGGTTAAGATCATTAAGGAACGGTTGAAAACTACCCAGAGTCGTCGGAAGTCCTATTCGAATGTACGTCAGAGGGAATTGGAGTTACAAGAAGATGATTGGGTATTCTTGAAGGTTTCCCCCATGAAGGGTGTAATGCAGTTTGGTAAGAAATGAAAATTGAGTCTGAGGTATGTCGAACCGTATAGAATCATTCAGAGGGTTGTTCAGGTGGCTTGCAGGATAGAACTACCTCCAAAGATGTCTTTGGTGCACCCGGTGTTTCATGTATCCATGTTGAAGAAGGTGGATGGAGATCCGCCGCTTATTGTTTCGGTTGAGACTCTAGAGGTTAATAAGGAATTGACTTATGAAGAGATTCCAATTTCCATTATTGATAGGCAAGTCCAAAAGCAGAGAAACAAAGAGATTGCCTCCATGAAAGTGTTATGGCGAAACCAACAGGTCGAAAAGGCCACCTGGGAAGCCGAGGAAGAGATGAAGAAGAATTGTCCCCATTTGTTTGAATAGCTATGTAGTTATGTCCATGATATTGAAATCTAACTTTTTCCAAATTATGGTTCCTCTGTATAGCTTATGTTAAGGATACTCCTTCTTGGAAATGTAATGTTTATGGCATTGTGGCTGGTGTTATTTCCGTGTTGTTTTACATCGTTGTGTTATGGTTATGCTGTTAGGACTCGTTTTGGGATTCTCTAGAAGGTGGATTGGCTCAATCACAGGGGAGACTAGCAAAAGTTTTGGAAAATTAGGGGGTTAGTCAAAATTTGGAACTACTGGTGCATGAAGTAACAGTTGGCTCACATTGGATGCTAATGGCGGATTTTGACCCTCATTTAAGGACGAATGATCCTATGTAGGGGATGATGTAAGGCCAGAAAAATATCACCAAAAACCCGGGGTTTCGTGCTACCGAGGTAACCTAATGTGTTTGAGCATTGTAAAATTCTTCGTGGCGAGTTGGGTTGAATAGTGTGTTGGGGAGTTGAAGAAAAATTGTTGCAGAACATGGCATTTCTGCGGTCTATTATGCGACTGCAAAACTACTCCACGAATCACAGATCCGCCGCGGAGTGAAACAGAGAAATGAGCCAATTTTGGAGGTTGTTTTGCGGTCAGCTATGCGACCGCATAAGCGTTTCGCGGGCCGCACATCCATCTTAAAACTAGCATGAGATATTACACAATGAGGTTTTGCGGTTCATTATGCAACCGCAGAATTGATTTGCGGACCGCAGACCTGTCGTATACCTGCACAGAAGTGCCCAGTTCTAGAGCGCTATTATACGGCCCATTTTGAGGAACGCAGAAATATTATGCGGTCGCATATGCATATGCGACAACATATCTACATTGGCGTTTCACTTTTCTATTTCATAACCCGATCCCATTTTGTTTTATCTAGCCAAAGGATTTTATTTTAGGGGTTATCTAATATTTTAGAGAGTGGAGAGAGTTATTCTAGAGAGAGAAAGGGGAGGATTCAAGGATTTCACTATTCAACTTGGATCAAGCCTTGGAATTTCATCAAGAGGAACTTGCTCGGGTTTCCTAAAGGTAAGAATTTCTTCCCTCAATTCTTCAATTTCGTATTTTTGGGTTGGTTATGGGTGAAGAGAGTAGACATATCACATGCATGAGCTAATAGGGATTGTGGGGAATTTGTTTGACAATCTTGGGGGATTTTGTTGTTGAATTGGTTGAGGAAACGTTGGGTTCTCATTGTAGCAGCTCTTGCCATACGAATTCCTCTAATCGTGACTGTAAATTCTCCACTATTCTATAGATTGGCATCGTTAGGAGTGTCGGGACATAATTGTTACACCATGGAAATCTCTTTCAAGGTATAAAGGCTAAACTCTTCTTCTAGTATCGGAATTCCTATACTCTTACAAAACTCCATCGTGGGTAGTTCAAACTTGAAAAACCATAGAGGTGGGATATTCAAGTAGTAAATTGATCCCCAGAATGCATAACGTGTCAAAACCCTCGTGTGTTAATGATTCTCTAATTTGATTTAATTATGTTAATTTCTTATATCTCATATGATGAAATCTTATGAACTTATATTTGTTAAGGCCAAAGGTGCCAAAGGGTTCGATTTGAATGGAAATCTTTTGTACAACCATTATCTTTTTGACAATCCAGATTGTGGTATTGTGATTACACCTCCCCCCTCACACATTAGGATGAGAGCGGGAGGGCCGTTTGTGTAGAGATTGTGGCACTATGATTACACCTCCACCAACACACATTGGGGTGAGGCGGTAGGGCCGCTTTGTGTAGAGATTGTGGCATAGTGATTACACCTTCACCAGCACACATTGGGGTGAGGCAACAGGGCCGCGTTGTGTAGAGATTGTGGCATTGTGATTACATCTCCACCCGCATACATTGGGGTGGGGCGGCAGGGACGCTTTGTGTAGAGATTGTGGCATTGTGATTACACCTCCACCCGCACACATTGGGGTGAGGCGACATGGTCGCTTTGTGTAGAGATTGTGGCATTGTGCTAGAGGTTATTATAGAAGATCCCCAATTTGAATTCCCAGATGTTATTAAAAGCTTTAAATGAATTTGCTAAGGTTTTAACGGCTATTTAGGTTCCTTTATTGCTTCCATGATTCGTCACATTCATGTTGTATTTCCAATCCTTGAAGGGGGTGTCTGGTATTCATACTAGTACTATTCCATATGTACTAATGTTCAATTTTGTCGGGGGTGCTGCATCTTTAATGGATGCAGGAGCTTCCAGAACAGGCGGCATTAATCAGTGCTAGAAGTACACCCTCTCCACAGCTGAATTGGTGAGCCCCATCTCATTTCGTGGTGTTGTATCTCTTGTCCCCTATGTATATTTTTTGACATATAGTCGGAGCCTTGTTGCCATCATCATTATGCTACTCTTTTATATCTATTAAAGACTCTATATAAATAGCATGAATGGTACCATTGTTTTGAGAAGTCAAAATAGAAATATTGTATTTGTATCATATTGCCCCTTCTAAACAATGAATATGTAATGTATTATTTTGGGAAAAATCTTGAATGAATTTCTAACAGTAGTAAAATTTGGATTCTTCATGTAGCCTTCTCATTTTCTAAATTAATGAAATAGATCATCTCTTTATTCATGGGTGAGTTTGGGTAGAAGGTATCGTACATGCTTGCTTGGCTGTGTTACCTTGGTTGTGGGCCGATCGCGCTTCCTGATGGTCGGGGCGTGATAATTAATGGCTCGTTGAGTGGCAGTATAGCTACGTGATGAGTACAATGGGAGTGAGGAATGCCTTAGATAGTCAGGATGTAACGAGAAGGATTTGCTTGGGATGCGAATGGCTATGGATGCTTGATTATTGTCTCGACATGTTATAGTCTCAGATATGGATGTGTTGGTGGATCTTCCAGTTTTTCATTTATGGGATGAAGTAGATTTTTCATCTTGTTGAAGAGTATTGACTTAGAAGATTAATTGATTGCATAGTGGTTGTGATCATGGAAGGGTCATCGAAAGATCTCGGTTGGAGGCTAAACAAGTAGGTTATCACATATGGGAAGGTTGAGGCAGTGTGCTTCTTATGAGGTTTCTATGAAGAGTTTTCCTTCTATCTAGTGGTAGGTATGTGCTATTATTAGAGTTTGAATCACTTGAGGAAGTTCGCACGACTGCCACGAGGATGAGTGTGCACTTGGCGGATGATTTAGAGTGCTTTATGACTAGTTCTACATAAGCTTATGATGAATTCAGCTGAATAACAAAGTGAGATCATGGTAGTTATGGAGGAAGAGTACTGCGGGTTATTGTATGATGTGTTCTGTAACTTCGAGCCAAGTGAGGGAGTCTACTATCGATGATCAGATTGCATGGTCATATGTTATGTTGCTTCCACGACTAAGGGACACTTGCAGATTAGTTATGACTTGAAGAGGATGGCTCAACCAAGGGAATTGTTAGATGCATGATGTAATATACTTTATGGGCATATGAAAATCATAGAATGAATCATGGTTGATATTTGTTATGGATGTAGTGTGGTAGAAAAGAAATCGCTTGGTTGCATCTACTTGGATATTCATGTGCTAGTGGAACATAAGTCGTTCGGCGCATATGGGTTGTGGATTGGAGATTAGAGCAAGGTGAATGACTCTCGAGAAGGTTCTAATGGGTTCGAGATTCATATATAATATTTAAGAATTTTTTGGATTTGGGTATAGCTAAGATCCGAGAATTGCATTGGATGGTGTCCAGACTTGCAGTATTTCTATATCATTATTGATTCTATATTACAGTAACAAAGAGATGGAAAAAAACTGTCACGCCCCAAATTCGAGGGACATGACCGACGCCCGGCCAGGTAGCCCCAGCCAAGTGAACCTGGATGCCTTTCCTAACCCACATGTTTCCCCCATGTTTTCCTTACTCAATTATTCCAAGAATTTGCCAAATAATTAATTAAGAACACTTTTTAATTTACAAAACACATACGTACTTACATAATAGTAATGAAATCACCAACTCGTTACCAATGTATGAAAACACGGACCTACACAAGCTTCTAACCCACATTTACTGTCTATGGAGCCTCTAAAAGTACAACAGGATAATATAGTATTTGCCGGTAACAAGGCTCCGGCTATACCTTACACAAAATCAAAAATAAGACTCCGAAAACAAGCGGCCTAAGCCACGCACGGCCCCGAGAGGAAAGGGGCTCACCAAAAAGCTGATGGAGGACGAAGGGGAGCTACGATCGGTGGACTGGAGTACCTGCTACGGATCCACCTACAATCATAACACGAATGTAGCGCCCCCGGAAAAAGGGACGTCAGTACATTTGAATTGTACTGGTATGTATGAACAAACTTTGCTCCAAGTAAACTCGAACCATAAGCAAGTAAGTAGCAGTAATAAAAGCGACAATCAAATCCACAAGAAGGGAACAATTAAGCCAACAGGTATACAATCTCTCCTCCATAAACAAACATGTAATTGTAATGGAAATAACAATCAAATCCACAAAGAAAGAGCAATCAAACCAACAAGTTTACAATCTCTCATGTTTCCCCTTCCACATTTCCACATCAATAATTTCATAATTTGTTCATAGTTCATTTCAGTAGCGATTTCGATCGCTTTCCAACCTTATTACCTCGCCCACCCTTATTACCTCGGCCACCCTTATCACCACAACCCACACCTTATTTCTTTGTGTTACGGCGCGCAACCCGATCCCACCGAACAATCACAATTCACAAACAACACAACAACAACAACAACAACAACAATTCACAAAGAACAACAACAACAATCCCCAAGAACAACAACAACAATTTACAAAGAACAACAACAACAATCCTCAAGAAACAACAACAACAATTTAGATGAACTTCCATAGCCATCAATACATTTTCCATGTATTCCACTACTCATATGCATTGATAGATCACGACGGTAATTTCCCACGACAAACCACATATGTTACTACCACGGTTATTCCGAGCACATCAAT